AAGGCTTTCATGGCCAAAATCACTGGGTTGTTGTTGGTTTTTCGGGCTGTATGGCCATGATCTAGAGGCATTCTCTCCTGACATTTTACCTGCATCTATGGCAAGCATTCTCACTATCTCTGAGGATGCTTGCCATAGATGCAGGCGAAACGTCAGGAGAGAATGCCTCTAGACCATGGCCATATAGCCCGAAAAACCTACAACAACCCTATATAATTACTTATTTTTATAGTTAAAGTTTTAGTTTTAATCTTCTTGCTCTATACACTCTTCCGTAACAAAGAAAAAGGAAAAAACAGAAAAACTAAAATAAAACCGTGAATAATAATAATAATAATAATAATAATAATAATAATAACTCATTGTCGAGCACTATCCCGTTTCTTTCCTTTCTTGTATTCCTCGAAAGGAGACCAGTCTATCCTTTTTATTGGGCTTCCCAAGCTATTGTTTAAAAAAACAAAAATATTAGTTTGTCAATGTCTCTAATTTCTTGTAATTTATTTATCCAATCATCAGTTTCTGGAATTTTGTCTATTTTCCAAAGTTCAGCATAAGATATTCTTGCTGCCATTGTGAGGGTGATCTGGCTGCGACATCTTGTCACCCCATTGATCGCCTAGTCGATTCGGCTGATCTGGCTGGCTAGGCGGGTGTCCCCTTCCTCCCGCACCACTCCATGTGCGTCCCTCCCGAAGCTGCGCGCTCGGTGGAAGTGGACGATGTCTCAGGTATAGAAGGAGTGTATACCCAGCCTTTGGTCCTGGGTATACGATAGCTGCACTCCGCTGCTAGAACCTCCAAACAAGCTCAAGGAGTGGTCTGTTCTTTAACTTTTATACAAGATTCTATGCAGCGGAGCATTCTGTGGTTCCTTCCACTTGAAAATAATCATGAAGGGAAAGAAATGACCCAGGAAGTGTGGCCAGCTGCCAGCTACACTTCCCCAAGAGTTCTTAGAGCGCTATGTTGCTTGGCAAATCTCCGAAGTTGGATGCAAAGGAGCATTTGCAAAATAGAAGGAATAATAAGCAAAGCAACATAAAATCCCAGAATACGCTGTAATTTATACTATGTGTCTAGAAACTACATTGACCCATATGAATATGGTGTGTTTTTTGAAATTGTAGGCTACATTTTGGTGCTTTATGAATTTTCAGAACATGCTTGATGATCATCTGTTATTTGCTTTGAAGAAAATTACATATATTAAGGTGTAAAATCACTTGTATATTAAAATGAAGGAATCCTTGAATGATCTAACTGTGAAACCCTTCTCAACCAGTGAATCTGAACAAAACATTTTTCACTATTCTTCCTGGAATGGAAACGCGTAGATCTATAGTTGAGTATACTGAGATCCTCCTGTCAGCCTCTGTTGGCGCCTTATATTAATCTCCATTATTTAGACCAGTGTTTCTCAATCTTCCTAATGCCACGACCCCTTAATACAGTTCCTCATGTTGTGGTGACCCCCAACCATAACATTATTTTCAGAACTGTAATTTTGCTACTGTTTTGGATTGTAATGTAAATATCAGATACGCGGATGTATTTTCACTCACTGGACCCATTTGGCACAAATGCCCAAATTTGAATACTGGTACGGTGGGGGGGGGGTATTGATTTTGTCATTTGGGAGTTGTAGTTGCTGGGATTGATAGTTCACCTACAATTAAAGAGCATTCGTAACTCCACCAATGATGGAATTGACCCAGACTTGGCTACACAGAACTCCCATGACCAACAGAAAATACTGGAAGGGTTTGATGGGCATTGACCTTGAGTTTTGGAGTTGTAGTTCACCTTCATCCAGAGAGCACTGTGGACTCAAACTATGATGGGTCTGGACCAAACTTGGCACAAATATTCATTGTGCCCAAATGTGAACACTGGTGGGGTTTGGGGAAAATAAACCCTGGCATTTTGGAGTTGTAGTTGCTGGGATTTATAGTTCACTTGCAATCAAAGAGCATTCTGAACCCCACTAGCGATAGAATTGGGCCAAACTTCCCACACAGAACCCCCATGACCAAAAGAAAAGACTGTGTTTTCTGTTGGCCGTTGGCGACCCCTCTGACACCCCCCGCAACCCCTCCAGGAGTCCTGACCCCCAGGTTGAGAAACACTGATTTAGACCTTTTCCTTTAATGTAATGCCAACAAAAATGTAATGTTTCTGCATTTTTGTACCACATTAATAGTGCAGTTTTTGTAATGAGGAAATATTGGTAAAATCATTACAATAAAATACTGATTTTATTGCTGTATAAATGTTTTAATTCAACAAATCTAGGTGACTTTTTACTTTTTTTCTTTAAATGACAGCTAGAAATTACTAACTATAACTAGAAATTGTCACTCTTCATCTTAAAGTATTGGTATCCTTTCCTTAACAGTTTTATCCATCCCCTTCAATGGAAGCATACATGAATGTTTTCCTGTCGTGAAACTGGGCCTATGCAAAGTCATTTCTTTTGTCTTCACATCCATCATGTGACTTGGTTCAACATCACTTTTTTTTACATCCAGACAGTAAAATTAACTGTGTCACATTTTCAAAGAAGTTGAGGTCTTCTGAGTATGCTTATTCACCCCAAAAGTTGCACTTGGTAGAGATAAGATGATATATTTATCCCCTTCTGTCTCTGTTTAAGAGACTAAAATGTACTTTAATTTAGGAGGGTGAAGAAATACTGTAATGGCCCTTCCTAAACCGACTCTGTTCTTGTTCTCAACTTTATTAATTATGACTGCAGAACTTTCAGATATTGTATATGAAATGCCTTTGAGTTATAAAGCAATTTATTTGATTTCTGCTTAATCATGAACAATTGCCCAATTTTGTATACATGATACAGCAATCTTTCAGTAAGGACTTTTTGATGCTTCTGTGTTTGTAAAGAAGCAGTGGACATTCAGTCCTTACTTGGTACTTATTATTATTGACATTTTTATCCCACTGTTTCACCTGGTGCGTCCAGGATGGTTAACAGCAAATACATTTAATCACCCAGTCCGGTTTTGAAAGCAAATGCAAACTGAAATCTTGATTAATTCCATGATATCTATATATATATAAATGCTCTGTGCATAATGAGTACCTTAAAAAGAAAAGAACCAGTGAATGAAATCACAACAAATTTGGCAACAGAACGTCTCACAACACAAGGAGTGACCATCACTCAAAAATTATGATTTTGTCATTTGGGAGTTGTAGTTGCTGGGATGTAAAGTTCACCTATAATCAAAGAGCATTTTGAACTCCATCAACAATGGAATTGAACCAAACTTGGTACACAGAACTCCCATGACCAACAGAAAATACTGAAAGGGTTTGGTGGGCATTGACTTTGAGTTTTGGAATTGTAGTTCACTTCCATCCAGAGAACACTGTGGACTCAAACAATGATGGATCTGGACCAAACCTGTCAGGAATACTCAATATGCCCAAATGTGAACACAGATGGAGTTTGGGGGAAATGGACCTTGACATTAAGGAGTTGTAGTTACTAGGATGTATAGTTCACCTACAATAAAAGAGCATTCCAAACCCAACCAACAATGGAATTGGACCAAACATCCCACACAGAACCCCCATGACCAACAGAAAATACTGTGTTTTCTGGTAGTATTGGGTGACCCTTCTGACACCCCCATGGTGACCCCCCCCCCCGGGGGTCTTGACTTACCAGGTTCAGAAATGCTGCCTTGAGCCTATCCAGTCCAACTCCCTTCACCAGGGCAAGAAAACATAATCAAAGCCCTCCTGACAAAGGACCATCCATCCATTCACACACACACATATATGTATATGACAGATGCAGTATCAAATTGTCCCCCTAACGAAGGACAATTATATGTTGCATGTTCCAGAGTAGGCAAACCAGACGATCTCCACATCAACACTGACAAAGAAACAGCAAGAAATACTGTTTACTCACAAGCATAAAAAGTTACATATATTAGAAATCAACACTTTCTCATTACTTTATTTTCCAGATCACCAGGCTGGGCCACAGCAATGCGTGGCAGGGGACCGCTAGTAAACTGATAAAAAACATAAATGCATTGGTGCTCTTAATACAGCCAAGTATTTGAGAGCTAAATGCTTGCAATATTACAGTTCTGTAATGGTGTTTAGTCAGCCATTATTGTTATCTGGGAGACCAGCCCCCTTGGGTGCACAAATGCATATGGTTTGCATATCTGTTCTCAAATGTTCCATTAATAGTGCAATCCTATTTTTCAGCATTCCTTTGTTTTCACCCATGCACATATATCAAAGTGACATATGTCAGGGATCTTTAACCAAATGCAAAGTGCACTGCATCGGTAATTGGAGCACTCAGAAGAAGAAGAAAAAACCCTAAGAAAAACCAAGCCATTGTATATTTTACTATAGAAAGATTAATTATAGGGAGAGTATTCGGACAGGACAAATAGATATGCAGCTAAATCTCAAAACAAAGAGGACAGATATGAAAACGACCTAATGGCAAATGAGAATAGAGCAGTGGTTCTCAACCTGGGGTCCCCAGATGTTTTTGGCCTTCAACTCCCAGAAATCTTAACAGCTGGTAAACTGGCTGGGATTTCTGGGAATTGTAGGCCAAAAACATCTGGGGACCTCAGGTTGAGAACCATTGGAATAGAGGAAAACAGTAGAGATGGTTTGAATTTTAGACTAGAATTTTGGTTTTCAAATCTACTCTCCGCCATGGAAATCCATTAAGTCATACTGTCATCTTCAGAGGAAGATAATGGCAATCCCCCTTAGGACAAGTATTGCCAAGGAAACGATAGGCTAGGTTTCCATGGGGTAGCCATAAGTCAAAAATAACTTCAAAATACACAACAAAGAGAAAGTTTGTCCTTCAGAGAAATATTTTCACAGTTACTGCTTCATAAAACAAAAATTAAAATGGGTATGAATATATTTTGTCTGAATGCCTTTACATGTACAGTTTGTTTATTTGTTTATTGTCTTTTCTGTTCTAGTCACAGATGAAGATACGGTAAAGAGGTACTTTGCCAAGTTTGAAGAGAAATTCTTTCAAACATGTGAGAAGGAACTTGCCAAAATCAACACATTTTATTCTGGTAAGACATATCTATTGGAGATGGAAGTATCTTAATCTTTTTCTAGATTGTATCGGTATTTGGTACTGGAAAAACTGATTTGCAATATGCAGTCAGTGTATTTTAGAGGTCTGCTTCTCCTAACAATAACTGAGACATCAGCTTGTTTTGCTTCTGTTTCTGGAGTTTAAAGATTTCATTTTAAGGTCTGCCTACTCTTGCTCTGTAAATTAAATGGTGTTTGCATTTAAGTTAACTTTTTACAATATTTTTAGAAGCTGTTAGGGTTCAAACAGCCATACTGTTAAGGCAGAGGCCTCCTGCAGTTGCATGGTAGCATCTGAATTCCTCTGTAGAGCCTACACATTTCAGCAAGCTTTAAAGGTGAAGTCGTCCTGAGTGCTTAAACAGCAACCAAGTTTTCATGGGAAGTAGGACTCACTTTAATCTGCAATTAAAATTAAGTTATAAATTCATGAAGTAAAACCCCAAAGGGCTTAAGATTGCCATAGCTTCAGAAGAATGTGCATTAGGGAAAGCTTTTCAATAATACAGTTAAAGATTTCAAATCATAATGAAAAGTATTAGACAGTCAAGAACCTGGAATAGCTAGTCATTTATACCTCATTGACCTATTTCTCATTTTAAGTTTTGACTGGAACACAAAACTAGCTAAAATTTGTGTGATTTTGTCAATTAACCCTTTAGGCATTTTAGGTAGGTAAAGTAATTCATTATGGTTATTGTAGAAGTTTCTTTCATTTAGAAGGTAACTTGTTTATCCTTTTGCCTCTCATGAAGCTGGAATATAATGAATTAAGTTTAATTTAGTGTAAAAGTGAAATTTTCTGATGTTGTTAACGCCAGCTCCACTGGCTGCCAATTAGCTTCCGAGCACAATTCAAAGTGCTGGTCTTGACCTAAAAAGCCCTAAACGACTCCGGCCCAGTTTACCTGTCCAAACGGATTCTCCCCTTTGAACCATCAAGGTTACTAAGATCTTCTGGAGGGGCCCTGCTCTCGGTCCCAGCACCTTCGCAATCGCGTCTGCTGGGAACGAGGGACAGGGCCTTCTCGGTGGTGGCCCCTCAGCTTTGGAATTCCCTTCCATCAGAGATTAGATCTGCTTCTTCCCTCCTGACCTTTAGAAAGCTAATAAAAACCTGGCTTTGGAATATGGCATTCGATGATTGAGTCAATAACCCTTGTCCACATGGGAGGATGGCGATGAATTGTGACTGTATTTGACGACTTGGCTTGTGTAATATGATGATGCTTTTTACTGTATTTTATATTTTAATGTATAATGATGATGCACTGTGCTGTTTTTTTTAAATGTATATATATTACTGTATATGAACACATGTTGTGAACCGGCCTGAGTCCCTCCTCGGAGGTGAGAAGACCGGTATATAAAACTTCTAAATAAAAAATAAAATATAAATAAATAAATATGCTAACAGGGAAGAAGTGAGTGCATGAGCCCAAGAATCAAGTGCATACATTATGTTTGAAAAGGAGCTGTGTCATGTAGCTGGTTCTCACTAAGTTTTATGTTGAAAATAGAATGATAATATGTGTACTGAGCCTATGCAGAAATTTTTCTTCTGACCCACTCCAGCAACAATTAACTTTCTATCAGCGTGAAGAAGACAACAGAACCTGTTGATCAGTGGATGTTACTTTCAGACAGACTTTAGCCTGTAATCTCTTCCTGCAAATTAAAGCCCTGCATCGACATGTCATTAAGATGCCATGTTTAGAATCCAGTTCCATTAATATATTTAGAGGAAGGATTTACCACTCTTCCTTGCAGACACCTTAAGCACACCTTGGCTGCTAGTTTCTGTTGACACCTGACCTTTCATTTAAATAGACAGTATGTGTTTGCATAGTCAGCTTTACAGATTTACAGTTCGTTTGCCAGGTCAGAAACTAACAGGGAGTGTCTGGGAATGTGATTGACAGTAACAAATACTGGCAAGCACCCTAGAAGGAATTGCTTTTCCTGTCTGCTAATGAGAGAGGATTCCCTTCTGGTAATACAATCAGTAAGCAGCTCAGTCTGTAGTAAACAACAAACATTAAGTGTGTTTTGGATTTCATGACAGATTTGAATGACAGATTTTGAAACATTAAGGCCAAGAACAGCTGAGTTGAAGAACTAGACTTTGAGTAGAAACTTTTGTTATAGTTAAACTCAGTCCTCTTGGTCTTGAGGGTTTTTAAAAAGTTGTTATCCTGATAGCATGACTCAAGGATCCATTTTTTCCAGACAAAGCAATATAGAAAGCTGCCAGAATCTATGTTGATGGACAGCAGGGTCCATTTTTTATTTTTTTATTTTTAAGGGTTTTTTTTTAATTTAAATTTCTCCATATAGATAACAAAACAATACAATACGAACCTTAGCCATCTAAAAGATAATATCGAAAACTGATTACGTTTTATGGCTAGGATACAGGTTCCAATTGTGCTTCCCTTTACCATATATCTTGATTAATTACACCTTTAAACCCTCCACCCCATCCACCCATCCTTACCACCCTCTCCCCACCTCCCTCCCTCCTCCCTCATCTGGGTTACTTGAATCAGTTCATTGATTTAATTGTCTGGAAGACCTGATTTAAAGTTCTGTACCTATCTTTTCTTTCCGTTTTGTCGATTAAACAAGACCATTTCCTAAACCAATCTTGTCTTGACTGAATATTCAAATATTTATTTTTCTTTTCATAGATGAAATTATTAATTAAATATTCAGAGAGATATGACCACTAGGTTTTCAGGTCCCACCTTGCCCATTTTATACTTCCTTAAGTAAAGTACCAATGCAGTTAAAAATTGGGTTCCTTGAATGACGCAGTATATAATAATAATAATAATAATAATAATAATAATAATACTTTATTTATACCCCGCTACCATCTTCCCAAGGGACTCAGTGCGGCTTACATGAGGCCAAGCCCACAGTACATCAATAAACAAAAGCAATTAACAAAAAACAATCAATGCAATACAATTAATATAAATCACATAAACAAAAAAAGCAATAAACAATAAACAYTAACACACAGCATTTAAAACCTATGGCCGGACCAAATGTAATAATMTAAAATTTAAAAAATAATGCTGGGCATGAACAAGGTAGGATATAACTGGGATAGGGTTTTCTAAGAGAGATGAGGGAAACGCAGTCAGTTCTAAATCAGTGYTAAAGTGCATTTGAGGGCATATTGCTGAGAGATTTCCTTATTCTYGGAAGGCACACTGGAACAACCACGTTTTCAGGCTCCTCCTAAAGACTGCCAGGGTTGGGGCATGTCTGATGTCCTTGGGAAGTGAGTTCCAGAGTCGGGGGCCACCACCAAGAAGGCCCTCTCCCTCGTCCCCACCAATCATGCCTGCGAAGGAGGTGGGAGCGTGAGCAGGGCCTCTCCAGATGATTGAAGAGATAGTGTGGGTTCGTACACAGAAATGCGGTCACGCAGGTAGGCGGGTCCCAAACTTTTCAGGGCTTTGTAGGTAAGAACCTGCACCTTGAATTGGGACCGGAAAATGAACGGCAGCCAGTGGAGCTCCTTAAACAGGAGAGTTGACCGCTCTCTATAAGAAGCACCAGTTAGTAACCTGGCCACCGCCCGTTGTACCAATTGAAAATTCCAGGTCGTTTTCAAGGGCAGCCCCACATAGAGTGCATTACAGTAATCCAATCTGGAGGCGACTAAGGCATGGACCTGAGTATGCTCAGTTTGTGGGTTATTGAAGATGTGATGTTTCCTGTTATCAATAAGGGGTTTTTTTTTTTTGCCCTGTTTTCAATTTGTAACTAAAATTTGTGAAAGTTGAGCTATGCAGACAGCATTCTGTGTTTTGTGCAGATAGCCCTTTACACATTGGAACATAACAAGAGCTGTGTTGGATTGATCAAAGCCTGCCTATCCAACATTTTTGTTCTTGTAGTCTCCAACATGAACCCCCTTGTAAACCCCATAATCCAGACCTGAGGACATTAATTCTGTCCAGCTTATGTTCCGTAGGATTTGGTATCCAGAACGCATAGTGTCCTCAATACTAGAGTTAATGCATAGTCATCATGTCTAACAATAGCCTTATCCTCCATGTGTATCAACTCCTGGAGACTTCCCAATGAGATTATTCAGTTTTCCTAATCTAGCCAAAGATGGTTGGTGGGGGTTGATTAGGGGTTAGATATGGCTCATTTACACCCTAAAGGGCTTCCTTTTCTCTAATGCAGTGGTTCTCAACCTGTGGGTCCCCATATGCTTTGGATTTCAACTCCCAGAAATCCTAACAGCTGGTAAACTACTGGAATTTCTGGGAGTCATAGACCAAAACATCCGGGGACCCACAGTTTGAGAACCACTGCTCTAATGGCTACCTTCTAAACAACCAAAAAAGGAAGTTAGACATCCAGACCTATTGACCATAAAACTGATGGCTTAGAACATATTTCTACGATTCCCTTCTATGACTCCATTAAACACATTGTAGATGCAGCACACAAACCATCCATTCAGTATTCTCACTCTTATAAGTGGACTAAGTTCTTTAAATTCCTCCATCCTAAGAGCTTTCTCCACAGGATGCACATTTATTGGACTTTTTAGTCTCCCTGTTGGACAAGAGCTTACCAGTCTTTCAACAAATGTTATTTGTCTGCTGTCTTGTAATTTCCAATGCTTTGGCAAGTCCTCGTGTTTCCAGGATTCTGTGTGATGATGGTGGCCATAGTTCTCCTCTGCTTTCTCTAGTTACAGATTTTTATTCATATACTCCATGTGATCCTATACCATTTTCCTCTCTCATATTTCCCACTTTCTCAAAATTATTTCACAAATTCCTCCTCTGAATCTCATATGACAATTCTACAGGGATCAAAAGAGTGAGCAACAGAAATCCTGTAGTGCATCATAAGCTATCTGATATTGGAGACTGGTATTTTTTTGCAATGGGACAGGGACCAGTTCCGCATTTGTGTCCATTGGGAATCATTTTTTTTTCTTGGGCTGGGGGTTTAGCACAGCTAGTAAATCACCAGCAATTATAAGATCTATCAACTGATCTTATCAACTGACCCGGGACTTCGAACTCGAAGTCCCGGGTCAGTTTGAGCTGCCGACTGTCAGCCCAGCTTATTGTTGACCCAAGCAGTTTGAAAACAGTTTTAGCTGTAATTAGAGAAAGTAGGGTACCATCTGTGGCTGGATTCGAGCCCAACCTTCCATGGCACCAAAAAGTTGGAAATTGAGTCAAAACAACACACCTCCTTCTGTTCTGTCTGTCTCTGTATTGTCTATACAAAAAACAGCATTGAATGTTTGCCATGTATGTGTACTGTGATCTGCCTTGTGTCCACTTTGGGGTGAAAAGGGCAGAATATAAATAAAGTGTTATTATTGTTATATTATGATTCCTTCTTGGAAACTTGCCGAAGACCAGCAGGCAATAGCTTGGGGTCCAGCACTGGTCCATGGCCTACTTAGAATAGGGCTTTGAGTAGCCCTACTGTAAGAGACTACATATGTCTTATAAGTTCTCATAGAGCGCAAAAATGTTCATCTGTTTGTACAACTATATGTGCTTTTAATCAGCCCAGGTACAGTTCCACACTTCATTTGTATCCTGATTTTTAATATTCTTTTAGTATTTGTATTTACCCTATTTATATCCTGCCTTTCTCTACCCCAAAGGGGACTCATGGCGGTCACCCTTTTCCTTGTACTATGTATACTCAATTCTACTAATATGTATGCACAAATCAGGAAGGAGATATCTTCACAACTCTTTGGATGTATGCACATACAGTATGAACCCATGTTTGGTGTATAATCCTCTGAAGAGGGCTTTCTATGAGGCCCACTAGTATTATGGATATGTTTGGTGAGGATACAAGGGAGAATTTTCTCAATGGCTGCAACAAGTTTCTAGAATTCATTGCTATGGAAAAAAAAAGTTGGCCCCTTTCTTTTCTGCCAGCAGGCAAAGACCTTTCTTCTAATTGCCCAATGAAGAAAATCTTTTAATTTCAGTGTGTTGTCATTTTGAAGCTTTTGAATTAATATTTTGATAAGATTTTGGGTTCCCCCCCCCCCCCAGTGTTTGTAAATGTTCGTTATTTTAGCTATATGTTGTCTAAACTCCTATTGGGTTCCATATTGAGAGAAAAGCAGAATATAAATAAATAAATAAATGTATAATGATTGCAAATAATTAATTGTCTCTCTTCATATGATACTGATTGACACCTAGACAACAGATCATGCCAACTTTGTGGATGTTTGGGTAGTGATAAAGTTTAATCCCCCCCCCCCCCCACCTTCTTGCAGTAATTTTTCCATTGCTATGGAAGTTCATTCCTGGTAAATAGTTTTTCTCTTGTAGACTAAGCATGTGTTCCAGAATAAAAAGTAGGAACCAGATTTCTTTCATAAAACACAGACAACCATTTGTTAAAACCTAAAAGCAAGGGCTATTTTTCAGTTGAGCTTGTTTTGGCAGTGGTTGAGTGAATTCAAAGAATAGGTAGAGAATGGTGGCAATTTTCCCAGTATACATCCACAAAAAAAGCCTAATCAGGATTTGCGTAATCTGAGCTGAAAAAAGGAAATACATTCCATGGAATTCTACTCTCCTGATTTTGACTGCAGTTCTGGAGACCTTTCAATAGGATGAAAATTTCCTCCAATCATAGTGAGAACAGAAACTTTACCCTCATTGTGACTAATTTTAACATGGTAATGGAAAATCTAATGATGGGGTGGCATGCTGATGCCACTGATTGGCTAATATTGAGTTGTGGATAGAGAATCTGGATACAGAGGGCCAACTATATTTTTTTTACATAGTGGTTGATGCTCTTTAGTTTTTACCCAGTTTGGGTCCCTAGATGTTATTGAACGACAGCTCCCATCATTTTTGATTATCCGCCATGCATACAGGGTATCATTGAACTGCAACTCAAGAGCACTTGTGGCTTTATTTATTACATATTATTTATTTTGGGCTTTTATATCCTGTCCTATCTCAACCTCTGCTAACAAATCGGCACCCCATGGCGCCCACATCAAAAACATAAATATACATTTAATAGCAATATAATAATAACAATATAAAACAGTATAAAACAATATAAAACAGTATAAAAACAATCAATCAGTCAGCGATCACCGGTTTAAATCGGCTTTGAGGTTGAAAAAAAGTTAAAGGACTTTTCAAAGTCAAACATCACATCCGCAAGCCTTGTATCTAGATTCAGACCTCACTTCCCTGTATCAGCTCTAGTCATGATGTCTAATAATGAAGAATGATGTAGGACCATATAAAATAACATGGTGTCTGGATTCAGCCTTCAGCCCTTGAGTTTGATATGTGGTGTAGAGTCATAGAATCATAAGAGTTGGAAGAGACCTCATGGGCCATCCAGTCCAACCCCCTGATCCCACCCCTTCAACTATTATCTGATCAGTATATGAGTATATGAGAGYAAATAGGAGGGAAAGCAAAAATTTCTGAACATTTTATCTCCCCCCCCCCCCCCCCAAGCCTCCACTTTCACATCTATATTTGGAAATCGATGCAAATACAGCAGATATCTGGCCTTTTCACCATAGTTGCTAATGTTAAGCTTTGTTTTTCACATATTTATACAGTCTTCCTGGTAAAATATCCCAAAATTCAACCTAAGTATGGGCTTATTTGTTGCATTCTGTGGTCACATCCTTTTATTTGTTTCTATAGAGAAGCTTGCAGAAGCTCAGCGCAGGTTTGCTACGCTACAGAATGAACTGCAGTCAACCCTGGATGCACAGAAGGAAACCAGTGGTCTTACTACTCTGCGGCAACGTAGAAAGCCAGTCTTCCACCTGTCCCACGAGGAGCGTGTGCAGCACAGGAACATCAAAGATCTTAAACTGGCCTTCAGTGAGTTCTACCTCAGCCTCATCCTACTGCAGAACTATCAGGTATCAGTCATGCTCCTTAAGACAAATTTACTTACTCTTCCAATTAGTTATCTCCTAAGTATTTATTTATTTTTCGTGTCAGGGCAACCAGTCAATTATATCACATTTCTAACAGAACAAAGCAAACAAACAGACAAAATACAAAATTTGTAAGTTTGGTAGTTGATTAAATGTCCTTTGACCAGTAGCTGGCCACTTGGAGTGCTTCTGGTGTTGCTACAAGAAGGTCCTCCATTGTGCATGTGGCAGGGCTCAGGGTGCATTGCAGCAGGTTGTCAGTAGTTTGCTCCTCTCCACACTCGCACGTCGTGGATTCTACTTTGTAGCCCCATTTCTTGAGGTTGGCTTTGCATCTCGTGGTGCCAGAGCGCAGTCTGTTCAGCGCCTTCCAAGTCGCCCAGTCTTCTGTGTGCCCAGGGGGGAGTCTCTCATTTGGTATCAGCCATTAGTTGAGGCCACTTTTGGACTCTCGCTTGCTGAGGTGTTCCAGCGAGTGTCTCTATAGATCTTAAAAAACTATTTCTTTTTTTTTTTAATAAGTTTTTATTAGTTTATCACAATTATTACATACTATTGCATTTTCTACATCAACCTCTTTAACATGTTATTTTGTTGTTTTGCTTTGACATTCCTCCCCCCCTTTTTTTTTTCCCCACCTCCGTGCTCCCCTCCACCCGTTTCAAGCCACATTTCTTACATTTCATCAGTCCAAAATTTCATTTCTTCTTGTGACGGTAATTTTCCTTCCTTATTTTTTAATCCATTTATCACAAATTTCCCCCATATAGCATCAAAATCACTTTGTTTCCATATACCTTTTTTAACCTTTAATATACATGTCAGTTTATCGTTTAAAGCTAATTTCCATGCTTCCTTATACCACTCCTCAATTTGTATATTCATTTCTTTTTTCCAATTCCTTGCTATGAGCAGTCTTGCTATAGTTAGTAAATTTGTTATTGCTTCTTTATCCTCCTTTTTCAATTGCTTATTGGTATATAATGATAGTAAGGCTATACTAGGGCTTTTATCTATTTTCATATTCATTATAATTTCTATTTCTCTAAATACTTTCTCCCAAAAATTATTTACATATTTACATTGCCACCACATATGTATATATGTTCCTGGTTCTTGACACCCTCTCCAACAATTTATTGAGTTATTTTTATTCATATATGCTATTCTTACCGGTGTCAAGTACCACTTCCATATTAACTTGTAATAATTTTCTTTAACTCGTATCGATAAATTTTTTAAATGTCTTTGTCCCCATAACTGTTGCCACTCTATTTCGCTTATTTTTAAAAAACTATTTCTAGATTTAAGTCGTTGACGTGTTGGCTGATACCAAAACAGTGGATAAGCTGGAGATGTCTCTGCCTTGGTCCTTTCACTATTGGCTGCTACTTCCCGGCGGATGTCAGGTGGTGCAATACCGGCTAAGCAGTGTAATTTCTCCAGTGGTGTAGGGCGCAGACACCCTGTGATAATGCGGCATGTCTCATTAAGAGCCACATCTACTGTTTTAGTGTGGTGAGATGTGTTCCACACTGGGCATGCATACTCAGCAGCAGAGTAGCATAGCGCAAGGGCAGATGTCTTCACTGTGTCTGGTTGTGATCCCCAGGTTGTGTCAGTCAGCTTTTGTATGATATTGTTTCTAGCACCCACTTTTTGCTTGATGTTCAGGCAGTGCTTCTTGTAAGAGCACGGTCCAGAGTGACTCCCAGGTATTTGGGTGTGCTGCAATGCTCCAGTGGGATTCCTACCCAGGTAGTCCTCGGAGCTCGGGATGCTTGTCTGTTCTTAAGGTGAAAGGCACATGTCTGTGTTTTAGATGGGTTGGGGATCAGGTGGTTTTCCCTGTAATAGGCAGTAAGAGCACCTAGAGCTTCGGAGAGCTTCTGTTCTACCATCTCCTAAGTGACTAAGCTGGAAATCTCAGTTTGGGCAACCTGTGGCTTAATTATTCCTTTGGGGTTACTTTTGCTGTGATTTATAGGGCTGCAGCTTGCCATTTTCATGAGTAAACATACTGGAAACTACTCAATGAAACCATACAACTTCAAGTCATAGTGTCCTTTACATAATATTTGGGAAGTTATCAATAAGCCATAGGCTCAGATGGAAAGCTCGAATGCACAACTAATTTCCAGTATTTTACCACGTCGCCAGAAAGATCTTTTGTGTTGATTTGGACAAAATTGATTGAGCAGAGTGGGGTAGATGCAATTCCTTGTGATCAAACTCATTCCAGCTGTTTTTAGTCCATTGAGAGGAAAGTAATTAGTTACCTTACCTCCAAGAACAGAAATGTGCAACACGTTTATATAATATACACTTCCTTTAAAAGGAAAAGGGGATGAGAGAAAAGGAGGAATCTGACAGCATTTTTATATGAGCTTCATAAATTTCAGTTAACGTCTTCAGACACATTGATAGAGTTATTATCAGACTTCACATATAATATCAGGTTTTTCCCCCTGTGTCAGGAGCGACTTGAGAAACTATCAGATAATATCATTTGAAGGAGTGGGATCAGAATGTAATAGGACAGAGAAAAATAAAATGTCAGTTTGTGACATTGTTCACAAACCTTCGGCCAGTGGAATAAGGTACTATTGATCCAGCGTTTCTCAACCGGGGGGGGGGGGGGGGGGGGGGTGTCAGAGGGGTAGCCAAAGACCATCAGAAAACACAGTATTTTCTGTTGGTCATAGGGTTCTGTGTGGGAAGTTTGGCCCAATTCTATCGTTGATGGGGTTCAGAATGCTCTTCGATTGTAGGCGAACTATACATCCCAGCAACTACAACTCCCAAATGTCAAGTTTTTCCCCAAACTCCACCAGTGTTTCACATTTGGGTATTGAGTATGTGCCAAGTTTGGTCCAGATCCATCATTTGAGTCCACAGAGTTCTCTGGATGTAGGTGAAACTACAATTCCAAAACTCAAGGTCAATGCCCACCAAACCCTTCCAGTATTTTTCTGTTGGTCATGGGAGTTCTGCGTGCCAAGTTTGGTTCAATTCCATCACTGGTGGAGTTCAGAATGCTCTTTGATTGCAGAACTATTAATCCCAGCAACTACAACTCCCAAATGACAAAATCATCCCCCCTCCCCTCACCAGTATTCAAATTTGGCCGTATTGGGTATTTGTGCCAAATTTGGTCTAGTGAATGAAAATACATCCTACACATCAGATATTTACATTATGATTCATAACAGTAGCGAAATCACAATTATGAAATAGCAACAAAAATAGTTTTATGGTTGGGGTCACCACAACATGAGGAACAGTATTAAGGGGTCGTAGCATTAGGAGGGTTGAAAACTACTGCTCTAAAAGATCCCAAACATGAGGAACTGTATTAAGAGGTCACAGCATTAGGAAGGTTGAGAACCACTGTGACTATAGTATTGTATCGAAACCCCATGAAGGAGGAGCCTCTTTCTGGTCTTTCATTTTCCTTTCCTTTGAAATAGTTGAGATTAATATTCATTGTGCTGAACTCTCCATCTTCTAAAATAATGCAGCAGGAGAGAAAAAGTCTTGCAAGAACTCCAGAACATGTGATGTAATGATATTAGATTTAACAATGGCTTCAGCTTTCTGTGGTATGTGGAAAGCTATAATTACTCCCACAGCAATCAAAATTATTCAACACAGGAACCTCTATAGTTAAAATCATGGCTTTGTTTCATTTTTCTTTTCAGCTTTATAAAATAAGCCATAAGGGTCTCTGGGGAGGGAAATGCTGGGTTTCTTCAAGAGAGAATAATTAACGTTTCTCATTGGCAGTAATATGGATCGTTAATGCATTGGCTTCCTATTTCCAGCTACCTCTTCCTTTTCTTCCGTACTGCTAAACTCAATATTAAATCACTCCAGGCGTAATTAAATCGAAAATCATTTCAGCAGGGTTTTTGTAACCTCTTGCATAGACACAGTATAAAGGGTTCTGTATTTTTTTCTCCACATTTGAACTTGTGTTTTTGTGGCTAAAATGACTACTTTCTTATATTATTACAGATCCTTGAATTTAGAGAGTAATCTCTAAATCAAAATAAATCTTTTGTATGTATTGTCGAAGGCTTTCATGGCTGGAATCACTAGGTTCTTGTGGGTTTTTTCGGGCTATAGGGCCATGTTCTAGAGGCATTTCTCCTGACGTTTCGCCTGCATCTATGGCAAGCATCCTCAGAGGTAGTGAGGTCTGTTGGAATTAGGACAATGGGTTTCTATATCTGTGGAATGGCTGGGGTGGGGCACAGAGCTCTTCTCTGCTGGAGCTAGGTGTGAATGTTTCAACTGACCGCCTTCATTAGCATTTGAAGGCCTGGCTGAGCCTGGGGAAATCCCTGTTGAGAGGTGTTAAGATGTGTCTGGTTGTTTCCTCTCTGCTGTTTTGCTGTTGTAATTTTAGAGTTTTTTAATACTGGTAGCCAGATTTTGTTCATTTTCATGGTCTCCTCCTTTCTGTTGAAATTGTCCACATGCTTGTGGATTTCAATGGCTTCTCTGTGTAATCTGACATGGTGGTTGTCTCCGAGTTCCAACAGACCTCACTACCTCTGAGGATGCTTGCCATAGATGCAGGCGAAATGTCAGGAGAAATGCCTCTAGAACATGGCCCTATAGCCCAAAAAAACCCACAAGAACCTAGTAAATCTTTTGTACATCACTTGATTTTCTTGTTGTCTGTGTAATAAAATATGGCATGATCTAGTAGTGAAATATTCTTGTTTTTTAACTTTTTTTAAAAAAATTACTACTTATAATTATTACGTTTATTATACATTTGTTTATAGCAGTTACATATTATTCAACACCCTCTTTAACATATCATTTTATTCTTCTGCTTAAGCATTTTGTTTTTTAACTTAATCGCATAAAGTACAAGAAAATGATGTTGAACATATGCATAGTAGTTCATGTTTTCCTTACCTTTTCTGCTAAACTTGAGCAAGATATTATAAGTAGCTTCTGAGTCTTAAGTTCAATTGTAGAATTTATTGCCAAAAAGAATAATGGGGTTGTGGGTTTTTCCTTTACCTTTGTAGAATCTAAACTTCACAGGATTCCGTAAGATCCTAAAGAAACATGACAAGATCCTGGAGACACCCCGAGGTGCAGATTGGAGAGTGGCTCATGTTGAAGTGGCACCATTCTATACCTGTAAGAAAATCAACCAACTCATCTCTGAAACAGAGGTAGAGTATGTTTTTGGTGTTTAAACATGGCAAAAATACTTCTATGTTGTTGAAATGCTGCTAACATCATTTGAAGGCAAGATAATTTTCTGGCTGAAATATCTGAATTTCTGACAATTTCCCCGTCCACTAAATAGTTCTAGCATGTTAGTTAATATCAATACTGCTTTTATCTTGTAAGCATGGCTTACATATGCCTCTAAAAAGTAGAAAGACCTTACTGTCATGATTTATTGCCTTTTCCTTTTTTTGTCTCTTTTTTTACTTTTGTGCCGTAGACCGTGGTAACCAATGAGTTGGAAGATGGAGACCGCCAGAAAGCCATGAAGCGCTTACGTGTCCCACCACTTGGAGCAGCGCAGGTGATGGAACGATTAGAAGCCCTGAATGATATGTTGCCCCTTATAAGTGATTGTGCGCAGTTCAGATAACTGCCATTGGTAAAGCCTCATATCTTGACCATCCTTTCATGTTTGAATTTGATTTTTACTTCAGAGTACTCGTAAGTAGCAGTAAAGTTGTTACTAAAATCGAGGCAAGATTTAATGGGTATTTAAAAACCTAGCGTGCCGGTCCACCTCCGAGCACAATTCAAAGTGCTGGTCTTGGCCTATATAACCCTATACGGCTCTGGCCTAGCTTACTTGTTCGAATGTATCTCCCTCTACGTTCCACCTCGTAATTTAAGATCTACTGGGGAGGCCCTGCTCTCGGTCCACCAGCTTTGCAAATGCGTCTGGTGGGGACGAGGGACAGGCCCTTCTCAGTGGTGGCCCCCCGCTTGTGGAATTCGCTTCCCATCGAGATCAGATCGGCGCCCTTCCTCCTTTCTTTTAGGAAAAAACTAAAAGCGTGGTTTTGGAGCCAAGCCTTTGGCTTTAGACACTGAACCCGGACAATAAGATTGTTACGACAATTGGAAATGGCTTTATAACTTTATTTATTTATTTAGTTATTTACTTTATTTGTATACCGCACTATCTCAGCCCATAGGCGACTCAGTGCGGTTTACAACAGGACAATATACAAAGTGCATAGCATTAGCATCTAAACAATCACTAAAGCAGTTAAAACAATACAACAATACATCAGTAAATGAACAAACATCAATACATCCAATAACTAATCCGTCACGTCTCATCAGTAAAATCGCAATCCCATCTCATCATCCATTATTCCAGTTCCAAACTCAGTTCCAAATAATGGATCTCATCATCCATTATTCCAGTTCCAAACTTTGTGATTATTATGATTATGTGACTATGTGTTTTTGTGATTTTAATTGATTGTAACTTTTTATGTATTATGTATTATGATTTTTTACATTGTGTTACTGATATTGCGGCATCGAATTGCTGCCTGTGTTAGTCATCCTGAGTCCCCGTCCCCCATCCTCCCCGGGGTGAGAAGGGTGGGGTAGAAATGGTGCAAATAAATAAATAATCTAGCATTAGTAGATTCTATAGTTCCATTGATTGTTTTCTCATACACTTGTGTTGTTTATTCTCCACCAAATCTACGACTTTGTAACTTTCTCCCTCTAGTGGAGTATTAAAACACTTATTAAATATATGCCAGTCTCACTGAGACCTAGAAAAGGGTTTCTTCAGATACCTGGTTCACTTGGGCAGCTGCCAAAGCCGCCTGAGTCTGACATTTTATCTGAGTACCCCACTTCCATATTCCTGTTTTTGCTTGGCTTCCCAGTAGTAGGTCCTAGTCCTGCCAATTTCTTTCACCATTCTTACTTAGCTGAAACATTAGTTCTGTAGAGGCATTGGAGTCAAGTGGCTCTTAGAGATGTCATCTACCTTGTTGCTTGAAGTGTCTGGCATCCAGTCCTAGTCATGCACTGTGGGAGATAAATCAAGATGGTTGCTTAGAACCAACAATCACTGAGCACTTAGTTGGTTCCCTTCCTGAAGCGTTAACACATGACTGTTCAGGAAGAGGGAATGAGTGGCAATTGTACCAATTCCAGGAGGTTGGATGTAGTGATCTGGTTATTGTTTGGGTGGGTTCAGCAGCATTTTTGGTGTTCAATACATGCCCCCATTATTATTAGCAGTTTATTTATTTATTAATTATTTATTTACTACATTTCTATACTGCACTTCTCAGCCCTCAGGGCGACTCAGAGCGGTTCACAACCACAATACAATACATAAAACATGATAAAAACAGTTAAGAAGCATTTAAAAGGATAAACACTTATAACAATCAATAAGCATCAACATCTCATATCATTCTTACTATGTTTATCTATTATATACTTTTGTTGCTGATATCCACATAAGCGATGAAGCTTATTTGTCATTTTAATAAAGGAAATGTATTTATTTATTTATTTAAAATATTTAGATTCCGCCCTTCTCACCCTAAAGGAGACTCAAGGCGGAGCACAGCATATACACAGCAAACATTCAATGCCGTGACACAAATTCACACACACATACATAAACATTAAAAAGCATTTATCAAAATATTAAAATACACCATTTAAAACCGTCCTAGTCATCCGCGTCAAATCTAATTGGCCTGGTCATCTTTCCTATTGCACTTTATCAGAGATCCAGGATATCTGCATGCCCATCCCCCTCCAAACACCCCACCTTGTCATGCCCAGCACTTTTAATTTTAATTATTACATTTGGCCCGGCCATTGTTTTTAATTGCGTCATTGGATGTTGTTAATGTTATTGCTTTGTTTTTTGTTTTCTGAGTTATTGTGTTGTTGTTGCTGCTGCTGTTTTTATTGTTGTATTTGGGCTCGGCCTCTTGTAAGCCGCACCGAGTCCTTCGGGAGATGGTAGCGGGGTACAAATAAAGGATTATTATTATTATTATTATTATTATTGCCTCTAAATTCCCAATTAGATTCAGCATTGTATTTATTTACACCTCAGAGCAGACTGATGGTGGGGTCATTAGTTTTCCCAACCACCTCCTTTTCCCCCTACATAAATCTTACCCCACCCCCCAATAATGTATAGAAATATTCGTACTTGATATTTTCACATTAGTTATGTTACAATCTAGGACTGAAATGGATTCAATTGGCATTGGTAACACTTATTGTAGGCAAGATACTCAACACTGTGAAGGTGCAGAATATAGTTTGTCGAAAACAAACTGGAGTTTGTTGGTTGCTTAGATATTCACGTGCACACATACACACAAGTCAGTACTTGGCAGAAGCACTTTTGGCAATAATTACAGTTGTGAGTCTTTCGGGGTAAGTCTCTATCAGCCTTATGCATCAGTATCCTGTTATTCTATCCCATTCTTCTTGTCAAAATAGATCCTATGTTTACCTTGCTCTGTTTTTTTTCTTCAGTGGAGCAAATAGCCTTTACACAGAGAAAATTGCACAGGGAAAAAAGCTTATTATTATTTCACATCAAAAGCATTACATAAATTAGTATAAAACCAATAAAAATAGAAGGAGGGCAGGTGGCTAAATATCTTTTGACTAAAAACGGGCAACAGCAATGGCATTTTCTGTAGCTTCCCTTCTGTAGCAGAGCATAGTGGACAAGCATACAGATGCAGAGTTGTCTGTTGTGCTCCACAGTCACATAAGGTGTGGGATTCTTTTAGGAAGAAAGCTTTGATCAACCCTTTCCTATGTGCTTTTAAAATGAAAATCAATGTTAGCAGACCTAGTAGTAAAACCATTACATAATGTGCAGTTTGGGCTCAAGACTAGGCAAACTAGAGGTTTTCCTAGGCGAGAATTCAGCTGCAATTGTCTTTGGCAGCACAATATTCCTGTGTTCTGGCTTGTGTTTATGCATTAAAAGATTCTGTTGTGTCAGAGAAAGATGAACAAGATGCTTAACAATTTATCAGTTTACTTTAACCAATAAGCAGATCTTTACAAACAACAACAAACCCAAGCTATTTTCTGTTTTATCTGCAGCCTGCACCAGCATGGACTACTTTCAGGGTTGGACTGTTCTGTGGAATATTAATTGTGCTGAATGTTACCCTCATACTTTCAGGTTCGTTTCTAACTATGCTTCTATCCTCACAGGTTAACATTGTAGGGGTGAGTGGATTTGGGTAATCTGCTTGGGCTCCTCCATCATTTTGTTTTGCAAAAACAGAATTTGACTTCTAGGATTTTTTTTTTTACATTTTTGTGGCTCCTTGGAGGTTCCTGGGACAGAAGGTTACCCCCCCCCCCAGATATGCCTCAATTGTCTACTCCTCGTCCAAACAATATTTAAACCTTTAACAGAAACTATTTAAATGTCTTGAAATGTGGGCGTCTTTTATCCAGGTTGCCCACTTTGAGTACCATCCTATATATGTTTGCTTGAAAGTATATGCCACTGAATTCTGTGGGACTTAGCCCCACTGTGTATGCAGATGATAAGGAAAACGGAAGTGGCAGGAAGCATTAAGGACCACAGGTTGAAGGAAAAGGAGAATAAATGTTTGCAAACTATATTGAACAATTGCTGTTAAGAAAAGTTGTCAATAATATGAAGCAGTGAATCCTAGTGATGGCTGAGAAGGGCATTAAGAACAATAGGATAGAAATATAAATTAGGAAAAATAGCCTGAATTTTAAGTAGCAGTAAAAGCTAGTGAAAAGACAAGAGAGCTAAGGAAATTTAATGAATAAATGTAGATTCAACTGGAAATGACACTAAAAAGTTTTATCTATTTCCGTGACATTACATTATCTGCTGTTTTGAGCAAAATGCGTATTGTGATTATGCCTGAGAGCCAACTGTTTAATCTTGGTCCTCAGCAAATCACTGTCTCTTGGACTAATATAGGCAGTCCCTAAGTTATGAACAAGATTGGTTCTGTAGATTTGTTCTTAAGTTGAATTTGTATGGAAGTTGGAACACATACATTTTTAAGTGCAACTCCAGCCATAGGGAAGGGTTAACACCCCTGTGGTGTTTGTTTTGCTGCTTGGGCCCCAGTTCAGAAGATTTCACCAAACTTTATGTCTCTGTGATAATTGGAATTTGAAATCTTTGGCTTGTTGTAGAAATAAGGATTGGTGATAAATCTTCAGAGGATACACCTTTTTCCCATGATAACTCCTTTCAGGAGTGAATTTCCCTTCTTAGAGGTAGATTTCTCTCACTTCCTGTTGTCTTAGAGGTAGATTTCTCTCACTTCCTGTTGCCTCTGTTCTTAACTATGAGTCGTTTGTAATTTGGGGACTACCTTTACATGAGTTAGGTGAAAGCAAACAGAACTGGAGAACTTCTACACCTATGCAGCTTCACACTCATGTATTCTTCAGTGATTTTGTAAAGAAGGGCAACATACATACTTGGAGACATACCCAGCCCATGATGCCAGACAATTAGACATGTGTTTGGCCTTCAGAGAGTTTCTACAGTAAACACCATATAATAGGTGTAACTGATCTTTTTATTATGGAATATAGTTTTAAGGTGAACTTGCGTTATTTTTTTTTCTCCAAAAGAAGTCAGTCAGTGAGTTCTGAAACTGGTGCCATTAAATAGTCAGGCACACCCATACTATTGTACATCTCAATTTGGCAGTTGCTGAATGGATATTGAATACGCTGTATTACAGGCTCTATTTCAACTAATTCTGACCTTCTGGAAATGAAGTCTAATGTTTTTGGAATAGATTTGGCACAATTATTTTTTAAAAAGAAATAATATTTCTGTTTCAGTTCTATCTGGGACTTATAAAATCTGTAATCGCTGACAAAACAAAAACATAACAATAAAAATACGATGAACTACTACCAGAAAGTGGGTGAAACTACTGTATTTTTTAAAAAAATGTAATGGAGCATACATTTTTAGAACATGGCCATATAGCCCGGAAAAACCTACAACAACCCAGTGATTCCGGCCATGAAAGCCTTCGACAGTACATATTTTATTTACTTGGGCAGACTGCAGTGTTATTCCTTGAGAAAAAAAATATCCAAGATCATTCTTAATTTTTGTGCAAAATGTAAAGTGCTATTCCTAAACTCATGCTTTTATTTTAAAACTTGCAACTCTTTTATTGTGTTTGCATTTTGTTAAGCAATTCAGGTATTATTCCTCCTTGAAAGAGCTGTAAATGTCATCATTACAATATTCTCTAGTATGCACATAGTTATGTGCTTAATTTGCTTGCTTAACTGGAACAAGTGAAGAATATTTCCAGGAGCAATATTTGCTAAAGAAACATTAACTATGTGTGAGAAGGTTAAAGCATTCATAGTGTTTTGTTTAGGTTGCTGGATTTGAGACATGTATTATCCTAACCTCAGAACCTGTACTTCGTGCAATTCGTTTAGGCCTACATTCATAATGATATAATGTAGGCCTTATCAGCATCCCAAAGGCATGTTGTTAGCCAAACAGAATGTTGGCCCAAGTAGGTCCTTGGTTATTTTGTATGTTCTTATCTTGAAGTAGAGGTGGTTTGTTAAATATTCAAGATCATCACGAACATAGGACTTTAAACAGAGTGAATTAATTTGAATAAATCCCAATTTTCTTTAAAATGTACATGCACATACAATTTTCCTTTCATGGCCCTTCAGTCTTCTACATAAAGCCCCATTCCTTTCTTGTATGACAAAAATGAACATAGTATTCTAGATTCTATAAGTAAAATAATCAGACAAACGACCCAAACATTTGAATTGATGTTTATACATGCTTGCCTTAAAGGTATCTCCTCTCAAACTCTAGATTTTCTAGTCTCAGCATTTTAAATGTCAGATTCTTCACTTGTTCAAATTTATGACAGTGAATGTTGGTTTAGTTCAGTGACATCATATTTCTGGTTTTAATTGGTATTTTAAGAGTGGAATGGCATCTTTTTTAAAAGAACAGGATGTTGACCGTCTTCAATATGTTTTCCATTCGGCACATGTTTGATTTTATTATTTCTTTGGATAGGTGTGTTTAAAATGAAAGGATCAAACGTGTGGCCAATCATAAGAATCTATCGTGGTGGCTTTCTCCTGATAGAATTCCTTTTTCTACTTGGCATAAACACATATGGCTGGAGGCAAGCTGGAGTGAATCATGTCCTGATCTTTGAACTCAATCCCCGCAGTAATTTGTCTCATCAGCATCTTTTTGAGGTAAGTATTACAATTCAGAAAATGGCCAGAACTTCTAACTAGTGGCAGAAGCCACTGTCACTTTTAATTAATTATTTACTTATTTACTATATGTGTATACCGCCCTTCTCAGCCCTCAGGCAACTCAGGGCGGTTTACAGAGGCAATGATTCGATACCCAATAACATCATAAAATATTTAAAACATTAATACATAGTATAAAACCAAACATAAGTAATAAAAACGTAAGCCGTTTGCGTCTCCTAATTAAAATCATTATCCATCTTGTTGTCCAGTCGTTCCAATTTCTTATGTCTTTTACGATACGTCTTTTCCATAGATTATGGTGATACCAATATCCACATGATTTGGTCACAATTAGGTAGTTACATTTTCTACAGTAGAGATTACTTTTGGTAGTGTTGAAGTGCTCAAGATATCAGGTTTTCTTTTTCATGATACTTACTGTATTTTCCGGAATACAAGATGACTTGAGCCCAGGAAAATCATCTCCAAAATGGGGAGTCGTCTTATATGCCGGAAATGGCGGGGTCACTTTGGTCTCTGCTTCGAATGCCCTGCTCCAGCGGGTGGACAGCTGGCTGCCTCCCTCGCCATCCCCGCAGCCTGAGGAGGAGGAGGAGGAGGAGGAGGGAGGGAGGGAGGTGGCGGGGAGGAGGAGTATCAGGCTGCATTACCACGGAGACCTGCTGTGGGTGGTGGCCTGCTGGGCTGTCCCTGCCACCACCGGCCTGGTGCTGGCTCTGCTGCTGCTGGCCTGGTGCTGGCCCCTTAAACCCGGAGCGGCTGCTGCAGAAGCCAAAGTCAGAGCGGGGGAGGGGGTGGAACCAGGACAGCTCAGCGGGCCACCATCCCCAACTGGTCTCTGTGGTAATGTGACCTGACGCTCCTCGTCCCTGCCACCTCCCTCCCTTCTCCTTCTTCTCCTCCCTCCTTCCTCCTCCTCAGGCTGCGCCACTCGGGGATGGTGAGGGAGACGGAGGTGGAACGGGAGCAGCCAGGGGGACCTCTCCCCCCACTCTTACCCCGCTACCCCTCTCCCCACTCCTGACAGCCTCTCACCACCACTGCCCCCCATCCATGTGCTCCAGGACATGTATCCTTCCCACGTCTGGGGGGGGGGGGCTTGGAGGAGCCTGATGGGCCTGAGGTGGATGGACACTTGTCAGAAGGGCTTGGATGGTGTCTTCCTGCCTGGCAGGAGTGGGGTTGGACTGGATGCTCATTGGGATCCATTCCACCTCAAGGGTCCCATCATCATCATTTTTATTAAGCAGAGCTGGGTGGCCACTTGTTGGGAGGACTTGCATTGTGTCTTCCTGCCTGGCAGGAGTGAGTAGGGTTGGACTGGATGGCCCTTGGAGTCCCTTCCAACTGTAGTGTTCTGATGTTGTTGTTGTTCTTGTTGTTAAGCAGGATTGTATGGCCACCTGTCATGAGGGCTTGGATGTGTGTTCCTCCCTGGCAGAGTTGGAGTCGGACTGGATGACCATTGGGGTCCCTTCCAACTCTAGGGTTCTGTTGTTGTTGTTGTTGTTGTTGTTAAGCAGAGTTGTATGGCCACCTGTTGTGAAGGCTTGGATGTGTGTTCCTCCCTGGCAGAATTGACGTTGGACTAGAGCAGGCATCCTCAATCTGCGGCCCTCCAGCTGTTTGGGCCTCCAACTCCCAAAATTCCTGAGCATTGAACAAGCTGGCTAGGGCTTCTGGGAGTTGGAGGCCCAAACAGCTGGAGGGCCGCAGTTTGAGGATGCCTGGACTAGAGGACCATTGGGGTCCCTTCCAACTCTAGGGTTCTATTATTATTGTTGTTATTGTTCTTATTAGCAGAGCAGGATGACCACCTATCAGGAGGGCTTGGATGTGTTTTCCTGCCTGGCAGAATTAGGGTTAGACTGGATTGCCATTGGAGTCCCTTCCAACTCCAGGGTTCTATTATTATTGTTGTTGTTGTTCAAGAAAGGACGTTGGACCCGTTGGGCTCACTCTAGGTAAGGTAAAGGTATTCTCCTGACATTAAGTCCAGTCGTGTCCAACTCTGTGTGTTGGTGCTCATCTCCATTTCTAAGCCGAAGAGCTGGCTACCGCTCTGATAGTCTTGGATTTGAAATCAAATCTACTGTTTTTTAAATTTTTATTTTATGTGCACTGGAAGAGGGATATATGGTGAGTATATCCCAAACTCTATTTCAACTGTAAAACTTGGGGGGAGGGGCGTCTTATATGCCCAGTCATCTTATACGCCGGAAAATACAGTAATCAGGAATATCTGCTGGGTAGTTCACAGTTAAACTTAATACAGCTGGCTTGATCACAAATGCAGGCAAGATTTCATTTATTCAGATATTAGTCTAATTGTAAAGCTTTTAGCATCCATATTGAAAACACATTATCCAGCAGGGGGTTGCGAGGGAGTCTCTTGCCTCGTGTCTGTATCAAAGGACTGTGGATTTTAATTCTCAAGCATGTTTTTTCTAGATAGTGTGTGTAGATTTTATTTTATGACAAGGGCATAAGGACATTACAGAGGAAGTGACAGTTGGAGTGTGGAAACTACTCATGTGTGAAAAGTTTCTTTTATAGATTCAGTTGAGATTCAAAGGCTGTCGAATACATTTATAGTGTTGCTGCTAATGCATTTGTTGTAGTCTATTAAAAATATAAATACAATCAATAAAATATAATCAATAAAATATAATGATATATGAAAAGTTAACTTGTGAGAAATAAAAAGTAACTATATAAAAATAAAAAAGCAAATGAAATTCTGAGTGTTTAACCTAGTGTCTTCTAAAAGAATTAACTTAGTAACTTAAAATATTATTATATTATTATTATTATAACTTTATTTGTACCCCGCTAGCATCTCCCAAGGGATTCGATGCGGCTTACACAGGCCGAAGCCCCAAAACACAATACCAACAGTACAATACCTAAAGCAAAATTAAAAACAGTTAAGCAGAAAAACAATAACAGTAACAATACAACAAGACACTATTAAAACTGGGCCGGCCAGAGTAGGGGTACAGGATTAAAAGTGCTGATGTGGCGAGAGGAAAGTAGGATTATAATATAAGTGCAGTGTGCAGTGATCTTGGTTCTACTAAAGTGCTTCTAGGATTTGGTGCTGGAGGTTCCTAATCTGGAAAGGCACATCGGAACAGCCAAGTTTTCAGATTCAGCATTGGTGCCATACAGCATTGGTGCCATTTAAATCTTGTTCAGGTGACCGTACTTTTTCCAGGAGGCCTTAGTCTTCCCATCTGGGCAGGCTAGCATCTCTATGCCTGCATTGTTTTGTGGCTACCCATTCCCTCTCTTCTGTGGGCTTGCCAACACTCATCTTTGCAGTCTCTTACAGTGTATCTCAATGTTGTGCGACTTGCACAGAGAATGGGAAGGCCAGGCGAGACTTATAAGTCCCTGTAAAAAATGGCGTAGGGCAGACCCGGTTGTGGTGGCAAGTAATCCATGAATAATCAAATCTGTGAAAGCCAAAGGCATGAATGTGGAGGCCCCAGTGTTCTTTTTAAAAGGCATATGGAAATGCATTACATTAGTCTAGCTAAATAAATGTTGTTAAAATAGGAGTGACCAATGAATTCTGCCTTCTCCAGATAGACAGTGCCATCATTTTGAACGACTCAGCACTTGTAGTTCTGCTCTTGAGTTACTTAAGCATTGTCTTAATGCTTGGGAGCCCCCGGTGGCGCAGTGTGTTAAACCCCTGTGCCAGCAGGACTGAAGACTGACAGGTCGCAGGTTCGAATCCGGGGAGAGGCGGATGAGCTCCCTCTATCAGCTCCAGCTCCTCATGCGGGGACATGAGAGAAGCCTCCCACAAGGATGATAAAAACATCAAACCATCCAGGCGTCCCCTGGGCAACGTCTTTGCAGACGGCCAATTCTCTCACACCAAAAGCGACTTGCAGTTTCTCAAGTTGCTCCTGACACGATTAAAAAAAAATAATGCTTGAGAATGCTCAGTAGGATTTTTTTTTACTCTAAACATCTGAGACACATTAAAAACTGCTTTTTAAATCTTTGTTAATTTCACAGAATTCCTCACAAGACAAAAGTAACTACCATTTGAGAGATGCTAGTGTTCTAGGGTTCTCTTTGTCTTAGCTACTAAAAATCCAGATAACTTCAGCATTAGTGTAAAGGAGTGGGGGTGTTCAGATTGCAATTTTTACTTATTTTTTCTCTCAAATGCATTTAATGTTCTTAAAGTTAATTTAGACTTCATAAAGCTATTTATTTAAAACTAGCCATCCCTGCCACACATTGCTGTGGCCCAGTCTGCTGATCTGGAAAATAAAGTAATGAAAAAGTGTTGGTTTTTAATATATGTAATTTCTTTAATCTTGTGGGTAAACAGTATTTCTTGTTGTTTCTTTGTCAGTGCTGATGTGGAGATTGTCTGGTTTGCCTACTCTGGAACATGCAACATATAATTGTCCTTCTTTAGGGGTCCCTTTCAAATCTATGATATTATATCTGTGTGTGTGAATCATATATATCTATATCTATGGCTGGATGGCTCTTTGTCAGGGGGGCTTTGATTACATTTTCTTGCCCTGGTGAAGGAGTTGGACTGGATGGCCTTAAGTATTTTTTGTTGGTCATGGGGGTTCTGTGTGGGAAGTTTGCCCCAATTCTGTTGTTTGTGGGGTTCAGAATACTCTTTGATTGTAGGTGAACTATAAATCCCAGTAACTACAACTTCCAAATGTCAAGGTCTATTTCCCCCAAAGTCTATCTGTGTTCATATTTGGGCAAATGGAATATTCGTGCCAATTTTGGTCCAGATCCATCATAGTTTGAGTCCACAGTGCTCTCTGGATTATAGGTGAACTACAACTCCCAAACTCAAGGTCAATGCCCACCAAACCCTTCTAGTGTTTTCTGTTGGTCATGGGAGTCCTGTGTGCCACATTTGGTTCAATTCCATCATTGGTGGAGTTCAGAATGCTCTTTGATTGTAAGTAAACTATAAATCCCAGCAACTACAACTCCCAAATGACAAAATCTAATTTTTTTGAGTTGGTCACTCCTTGGGTTAGTAGGTGTCTTGTGACCAAATTTGATGGCAGTTCGTCCAGTGGTTTTTGAGTTATTTTAATCCCACAAACGAACATTACATTTTTATTTATATAGATGTGTGTTTTGCTAAACTAAACTGAAGTTTACAAATAGACATGCCCAGTGGAACAGTTCACATCTACTACATATACAGATTGCATTTACAAATGAATTGTTTTCTTATTTTCTTCCCTCCTGTTAGATTGCTGGGTTTCTTGGGACATTGTGGTGCCTGAGCCTGCTGGCATGTATATATGGTCAAGATACTGATTTTCCTATACAGACAAACCCACTTATCTTATATGGATTTATGTTGCTGTTTCTCATCAACCCTACAAAAACGTTCTACTACAAGTCTCGTTTTTGGCTGCTCAAACTCTTGGTAAGTTGTGGTCCGATTGACACTTGCAAATCTCTGTCTTTTTCTCACCAAGCCCCAACGGAAGCTACAGTAACTAAATATTCTTCAGGTATAGCTTGGCAAGTTGCCTGTCCTTCTCAGCAGACAATTTGCACAAAATACTCCTTGCCTGCTAAATGGATTGATAACTTGGAGTATCGGTTACTGATGGAGATACTGTAGCAAAAAAGATTAAAACATCTTAACATAACAGGTCTGTTGCTGTTGCTTAAATAACAATTGTAGATTCCAATCAGAATAAATATTTTTCCTTGTACTGTGTATGCTTTTGTTTATAAACTGTTCAATGGAAAATGCAGAAAATGTTGGTGCATTTAGAATTGTTTGAGTATACACCTTCTATTTTATGGCTGAGGGCACTTTCCCACGCCAGTTAAGAAACAGCTATTAAGTTTTTAAGGCCAAGAAAAGATTATCTATTACCTCTGTTCTCTTAAAACACTCCCCTTACCTGGTATCTTAATCTGCAGGGTTAAACCTCAGTTGCATAACAGTAACCTAACTTGTCTTGTTTGTATATATCCCATGTGTTCTAAGATCTTGACCATTTGTAGCAGTTGTCTGCTTTTAAAAGTATCTATTATGTTTACAGGACCACTTTATTTTCTTCTCTAGGGAAGTGCTCCTTACTCATTTATGCAAGAGGAAATAGAGAATTACTCTTGACTCTTTAGGCATGGGAGCTTGTGGGAAATGTTAGAACCAATAGACACTGCAGGCATCTTGAACCTTCTAGTGGAGCCTTGGATCTGACCAGGGTGGTCCATGCCTTAGTCACCTCCAGATTGGACTACTGTAATGCGCTCTACGTGGGGCTGCCCTTGAAAATGGCCCGGAAATTCCAACTGGTCCAACGGGCAGCGGCCAGAGTGTTAACTGGTGCTCCTTACAGGGAGAGGTCAACCCTCCTGTTTAAGGAGCTCCATTGGCTGCCGTTCATTTTCCGGTCCCAATTCAAGGTGCAGGTGCTTACCTACAAAGCCCTAAACGGTTTGGGACCCGCCTACCTGCGTGACCGCATCTTCGTATATGAACCCACATGATCTCTTCGATCATCTGGAGAGGCCCTGCTCACGATCCCACCTGCATCGCAAGCGCGATTGGTGAAGACGAGGGACAGGGCCTTCTCCATGGTGGCCCCCGACTCTGGAACTCTCTCCCCAAGGACATCAGACAAGCCCCAACATTGGCAGTCTTTAGGAAGAGCTTGAAGACGTGGTTGTTCCAGTGTGCCTTCCCAGAATAGGAAACTCCAAGCATCATGTCCCAAATGCACTTTACTAGAGATTTAAGATTGTCTGCACACCGCACCTATCTCCAAAAACCTATCCATCTCACCTGTCATGCTCAGCATTTTTAAAATTTTAATCATTACATTTGGCCCGGCCTTAGTTTTAAATGCATCGTGGTGTTATTGTCTAATGTTTATTGCTATTGTTTTAATGTTTATTGCTTGTTTTATGAGTTTTATTTATTGTTGTATTTGTTATGCTGTTGTTTTATTGATGTGTTGGGCCTTGGCCTCTTGTAAGCCGCACCGAATCCTTCGGGAGATGTTAGCAGGGTATAAATAAAGGTTTATTATTATTGTTGTTGTTGTTGTTCAGAATATTTGCAAATATTCCATTGATTTAAATGTTAATAAGTAGTTGTATTATTATACTATGTTAGCAAGTTAATCTTTGACTACATAAATGAACATAATAACATGCCACATTTTATTGCATAAAAGTCACAATTGCCTAATAGTCGCACCTTTGTTTATGAAATAATGAGTAAGTGTTTTGGCTGTATGTTCCTCTTTTCTGTTGCATGCTGGCTGTATTGCAGATAATCCTACATTGCATTAAGCCACAGTTCATTGCCCGAGATCAATTAGGGAGTTCTCAATTGATGTCATCAATCCAAGTTAGTTAACTGCCATAATGGTGAACTCTGGCATAGTGCATCACAGGATCTTGAGAGGGCAGTGTGTCTGCGGATGGTAAGAGAAGGATAATTTATGGAAGTGCAGATTAGTGTTTTTACTTTATGGAGGGTGAGGATGATTGTCAAGGTTTAACCACAGTCATTTAGAAATATATTCCACAGTATATCTCTATACAGTTGAATTATTTATTTATTTATTTTATTTTATTTACTGCACTTGTAGACCGCCGTTCTCAGCCCTAGGGCGACTCACGGCGGTGTACAACACGTAAAAACAGGTACAATTTCCAGCATAAGAAATAACACAACAACATTAAACAACATCACTATCAATAATACCATTACACTAAATCATTCGCGCCATCTCATTGTTGAATCACAATCCAATCTCGTTATCCATGTTCCGTTCCAATCGTCATTGCCAGTTATTGCAGCACTTACTCAAACGCCTTCTCAAACAACCACGTCTTTAGTCTCTTGTGGAATGACATAAGGGAGGGCGCCAATCTGATGTCCACAGGGAGGGTGTTCCACAGGCGTGCCTGTGAGGCAGGCGGGATCGAGAGAAGGGCCTCCCCGGACGATCTCAAAGTCCTCGTGGGCTCATAGGCCGAGATGCGGTCAGACAGGTATTTTGGGCCGGAACCGTTTAGGGCTTTGTAGGCCAACACCAGCACCTTGAATTGGGCCCGGTAGCAAATCGGCAGCCAGTGGAGCTGGTACAACAAGGGCGTTGTGTGCTCCCTGCGTCCCGCTCCTGTTAGTAACATGGCTGCCGCGCGCTGGACTAGCTGGAGCTTCCGGGCCATTTTCAAGGGCAGCCCCACGTATGGTAACATTTACAAAGTATCATTATTCTGGGTTATTGTAGGTATTTTGTTGGAACTAGGAAAATTGGGTTTATATATCTTTGTCACATCCTGGTCATTCCACAGATATATAAACCCAATTTTCCTAGTTCCAACAGACCTCACTACCTCTGATGATTCTTGCTATAGATGCAGGCGAAACATCAGGAGAGAATGCCTCTAGAACATGGCCATATAGCCCGAAAAAACCTACAACAACCCAGTGATTCCAGCCATGAAAGCCTTCGACAATACATAACTGGGCATGTGACTTCCTCAAGGATCATTTCTCAACAAAATGTACCAAGCTGGGTTAATTCCCTCATTCTTCATGGTTTATATATAAAACAGAACCTTGTACCTTTAAATAACTAATCCCCAACACCATTGTTAGATGTTAATCATGAAACCTTGTCTGCAGTTTGCATAATTAAAATACAAAAGGATTCTGAAGGAATCTATATTACGGGGATTCTGAAATAATCTTTTGTATCACTAATTGTTTCAAAGTGAGCATCAAAACTAGTCTCATTCTTGTCCTGTTAACGTTTGCATGTTGGTTGTTGTAACTAACCAGACAGGAAAATCCGTAATCTAGGGTAAATGGAGCATGAAATGACCTAGCTTGAGAGGCACATAGCTGATTTCAGACCTTGAAGAGGAAATGGGTATCTGTTTTTACTACTAGTTCAAATACCCTCCAGCCATCATGATTGCAGAAACATGTGAGAGAAAAACATTTCTAGTTCTGGCCTATGATGTCAAGCAAATTTCATGCACCTCAGTATATTATATGAAAAATATTTTATGGGCTATATATTTTGCCATTACAAAAATTGTAATCTGTTAAAATATTATTTTGAACTTCTCAGTATGAAAGTAATTGTAAGGATAAATCTGAATTCAGTGACATACATCTGATACCTAATGAATTTTAATCCTAGTATATTCAAAACAAAGCATAAACTCGGGTCTGTTTCCATCGGCCAACCATTGTCTGCTTATTTTCCATTAAAAACATATTTTCTGTTATTTATTCTTTAACATTTTTCAAAAACTATGCACAAGCAAAGCATTACATTAATCCATTTCACATATCTGTGCCCTTTGCACAGAGTTCTATAGTCTTTACATCTGTCATGTAAAGTTGGCTGATAAAAATACTCTACAGGGTGAGGCAGCATAACTTCCTTTTTTCAAAACTTAATAAAACCCATTGTATGAATCAGAATTTTTTTTATAATGTAGGCGCATACCTAAAGTTTTGTTTTACGTAGTTTTGAAGATCAAATTAGGTAGGTGACATCCCCCATTCTCCATACACTGAGTAAACCAATTTCCGGCGTTTGTCATAACTCTTGCCAGCATAGCAGTCATTATGTTGGCAATTTCTTCCTGGATGTTGGTCTTCAAATCTTGTAGAGTCCTTGGACAGTTCACATAAACACGGGATTTCAAAAAAACCCCATAGAAAAAAAATCACAAGGGGTCAAATCTGGAGAGTGGGCCGGCCACTCCAAATCTGCTCAAAAAGTAGGCCTCAACGTCAAAAGCACACTCCTCACTGTTCCAACGCATGATGGCGACTGAACTGTGTCAGAACAAAACTTTATACTCCCGCCTCTCGAACGAGACCACTAGTGCTCCACTACATCTTCAACCGACTGAATGGCACGCATTTTTAAAAAGGAAGTTATGCTGCCTAACCCTGTATAAAGTAGGTTTTCCATTAGAAAGAAAATATACATGTTCCAGTGGTGGGTTTTTTCCCTGAATCCCACTGCTTCTGCCAGAAGTCATGTTCTCTCTCTCTCTCCTGTTTTCCACTGAGCATCCTCAACATCTGCTCTAGAGGGGTGAGAAAACTTTCGAAACATGTTTTTGGTATGATAAAACATGGAGGAAAAGAAAACATGGCTCCTCTTGAACTGAATATAAAGTTTTTCTGTCAGATATAAAAGTACCCCATTGTATCCTGCCCTGTCCCACGGTTTTGTATTTGTGCTGTGCAATGCTATCCTTATGTCATTTTTATTAATATTTTTTAACAGTTTCGGGTGTTCACTGCCCCCTTCCATAAAGTGGGCTTTGCAGATTTCTGGCTTGCTGACCAGCTTAACAGTCTGGCTGTGATACTTATGGATCTCGAATACATGATTTGTTTCTATAGCTTTGAACTCCAGTGGACAGCTAAAAATGCATTGTTGGAAAATCCAGGTATGTCAGTGATAAGGTAGACTTGGTAACTGCTTTATTACATATTTGATTTTTTTTAATGGAAAACTTTTAAGTTTCCTAGTTATTTGATGAGCTTCCATAATCACATATATTGTTGGGTGCAGATGTATTTGTTTACGCTACAGTGTCTAGTAGTAGCTTGGGACATACAGAACAATACTTCTGATTTAAAAAACCTTATAGTTTTCATCAAGTGACTTCACTATGTTTCAGTGACAGGGTAAAAAAAAAAGGAAGTACCCTTGTTAATAGTTTGAAGTATTGGGTTCATACCAACTGCAGTCATACTTCTGGAATTGCCCAATGATATTTTGTTGTCTTATTCTTTTTCAGGTATTCAGATCTGCAACACCTATGCCTATGGTGTGCGAGCAGTTGTTCAGTGCATTCCTGCTTGGTTAAGATTTGTCCAGTGCCTGCGCCGATACCGTGATACCAAACGGGCCTTTCCCCACCTGGTTAATGCTGGCAAATACTCTACCACATTCTTCATGGTGACATTTGCAGCTCTTTACAGCACTCACAGAGGTATTGTTTTCAGAACCATTGCTTTTGAGCCTAGTACTGTACTTTTAAATGCCAAGATATAAGAGGTTGCTCAGAACGATTAAAGTTATGTCATTTTCCATAAGGCAGGATTGGGAAGTATAACTGAATGCTCTTTAAGAAATATCTTGCCTATTTGCCATCTTTTTCTGCTATGGAATGTTAACACTTCTGACAGTAACACTGAAATTTTCAATTCTTCGTGCCTTACTATTAAAAAAGTACTTTTATTCTCTATTTAGTCAGATATTCCTTCCATGCAAATTATTTATTGTTTGTAAAGTACTGTCGATATGTTACAGGTAGATAAACTACCGTATATACACGAGTATAAGCCGACCTGAATATAAACCGAGGCACCTAATCTTACCACAAAAAACTGGGAAAATGTATTTACTCGTGTATAAGCTGAGGGTGGGAAATGCAGCAGCTACTGGTCAATTTCAGAATAAAAATAGATACCAATAAAATTATATTTTATTTATTTATTTATTTGCAACATTTATATTCCGCCCTTCTCACCCCGCAGGGGACTCAGGGCGGATTACAGTGTACACATATATGGCAAACATTCAGTGCCAATTTTGACATACAACATATACAGACATACACAGAGGCTATTTAACTTAAGGGGAGCTGTCGCTTTCATCGTCCATCTGCGACACTGATGAAGTACTTCCGCATTCCCCGCATGCTTTTTGCTGGAGTGCTTTGCTGGAATCTTTTTTATGGCCTCATAAATTAGTTAATTTAGCCTCCCCACACTTTAAGGTGGTACCTAATTTTCCTACTTGACAGATGCAACTGTCTTTCGGGTTGCAAAGGTCAACAACAGGCTACACAATTGGTTGGAAACCCACTCCAACCCGGGCTGGCTTCGAACTCATGACCTTTTGGTCAGAGTGATCTTAATGCAGCTGACACTCAGCCAGCTGCACCACAATCCCGGTGCATTAGTAGGTTAAATGTTTTTGAATATTTACATAAAACTGTAATTCAAGATAAGACTGTCCAACTCTGATTAAACCATTATTCTAACCTTCTTCAATGTAAATATGCTTACATGTCCTCCAATAATAATAAATAGAGTAAAATAATAAATGTAACAATAACAATAATAAATAGAGTAAAATAATAAATGTAATAATAACAACAATAAAATAATAAATGTAATAATAATAACAATAATAATAATAATAACAACAACAACCAAGTAAAATAATAAATAACATTGACTCGAGTATAAGCCGGGGGAGACTTTTTCAGCCTAAAAAAAGGACTGAAAACGAGACTTATACTCGAGTATATACAGTAAATCAAGGAAGCCAGAACCCTGAGTTTGCAAGATGTCTCAGAGGTCTCAATTATAGGGTCTCCGTAAACCAAAGTCAGTGAACTTCAGTATGTATGGTACTTTCCAATTTTATTAAAAATGCATTATATTCCCAAGAAGTTTTTCATCTATTTTTTTAATCATAATTAAAATATAAAAAGGGAGAAGATGATGATAGCAGTGGTGAAAATAAATTAATTCAATTTTGTATACAGTTTTTCATCTGTTAAATTTTTCATCTGTTAAATCTGTAGGTTGGTCCTGGAAGAGGACTGCCTGTCTGTTTCTAATTAGATAGGTTTAGTTTTATGTGATCTGTACTGTCTTAAGGATCTATCATACTTTTAATAAAACCTATTGCATTTATATATACATACCTGCCAGTTTTAGGAACAGTTATGAGTGAGTAGGTGATGTCGAGACAGTGAGAGAATCTTTTAGTCACACATTTTTGTAAGACCAGAGAGAAGTCAGATGATTGGTATGTGGGAAAATATAACAAGAAAACGTGAATTAATTATTAATTTTTGATGTTGGGCAGTTATGGTATTGAATGAATCCAAAAAAAGACATAATATTATCAATATGGAAATGTGACCAGCACTAGAAAAGTGCCTTTTGATTTTCATGTGCGGTTTGTCACTGTATTTTTTTTTAAAATCATGGTGATAGGGAATTGCTTCCAAGCTATTAACCTACAGAGTGAAATCTCTGAACCATCATGTGCCTGAATCTCCGTGGAAACCACAATGATTTGCTTTTGTGCCTCTTGTAGATGAATAAAGCTTTTAGGTCCTTACGCTTCAGGCAGCCATGGTGTCGTCTTTGTTCTTTTCCCTTCAACTCCCATTCAGGCAAGAGGTTTTAGTCTCCTCTAAAATACATGCTGATTTTGGCACATACTGACAAAAGTGCACATTTTGCTCATTTGTAAGTTCACAAGAAACAGACTTTGGGGAATTTCAGATTCTGCTAAGGTGTTGCTTCTATTGTTTTTGCTGTTAGTGCTGTTGTAGTAGTTGTTAATATTACGCTATTACTACCTCTCTAGAAAGCTTCTATTTTTCTTTTTACAGAGAAAAATAGTCTTTCTATGCAAAGCATAGGTCTACTAGACAGATGAGGTGGTGCTAGACAGATGAGATTAATAGCCAAAACAACATTGTAGAATCTAAATACTGATACAAGCATATCATGAGAATAATCTCTTTAATTCAAAGACTGACAAACCCATAGAATGTATTAGAAAGGGCAGAGTTACTACTAAGAGAATGGAGTTTGGTGAGAATGGAGTTTGGTGGAAACATTGACCAGTCTTAGAACAAATAGGCTTTTTCTTCTTTTAGATAAAAATCTGTTTTCCAGATTACCTTCTCAGTCTGTATCCTCCAACGTCAGGCACTTAAGCAGCAACAGTTTTCAGCGAGGAGTCTACTAACACTTTCAAGTTTCCATTTTGACTTCTTGAACAGGACATCACCACAACTTGAATATCTTCTTATGCCCTTGTCCATTTTGGGTTCCCAAGCTTATTCCACCCGATGGAACACCATCTCAAATTTTGGGTGTAACCATCATCCATTCAAGTAAAGCCATAGAGAGTATTCCAATTAGAGTATTCTAGCCTTATTCTTAACCAAAGTTTGGAGAGATTAGATCATAGAATAATAGCATCATGGAGTTGGAAGAGACCTCACGGGCCATCTAGTTCAACCCCCTGCCATGAACAAGGAAAATTGCATTCAAAGCACCCCTGACAGATGGCCATCCAGCCTCTGTTTAAAAGCTGCCAAAGAAGGAGCCTCTACCACACTCCGGGGCAGAGAGTTCTACTGCTGAAGAGCTCTCACAGTCAGGAAGTTCTTCCTAATGTTCAGGTGGAATCTCCTTTCTTGTAGTTTGAAGCCATTGCAGCAGAAAACAAGCTTGCTCCCTCCTCCCTATGACTTCCTCTCACATATTTATACATGGCTATCATATCTCCTCTCAGCCTTCTCTTCTTCAGGCTAAACATGCCCAGCTCTTAAGCCGCTCCTCATAGGGCTTGTTCTCCAGACCCTTGATCATTTTAGTTGCCCTCCTCTGGACACATTCCAGTTTGTCAATATCTCTTTTCAATTGTGGTGCCCAGAATTGGACACAATATTCCAGGTGTGGTCTAACCATGGCAGAATAGAGGGGTGGCATGACTTATCTGGATCTAGACACTATACCATTGATGCAGGCCAAAATCCCATTGGCTTTTTTTCCTGCCGCATCGCATTGTTGGCACGTGTTTAACTTGTTGTCCATGAGGACTCCAAGATCTTTTTCACACATACTGCTCTCGAGCCACATGTCCCCCATTCTGTATTTTTGCATTTTATTTTTTCTTCTTAATTGGAGTATCTTGCATTTGAGATTTCCTGGTATTTCACTCTTCTGCCTTTTCTTTGAAAGGGAAACTAATTGGTGTTAGTAGGCCCATCCAAAACATACTTCCACATTGGAATCTTGTCTTCACTATCACAACTTTCTTGATTTCACTATAGGGCAGTATTTCTCAACCTTCCTGATGCCACGACCCCTTAATACAGTTCCTCATGTTGTGGTGACCCCCAACCATAAAATTATTTTTGTTGCTCCTTCGTAACTGTAATGTTGCTACTGTTATGAATTATAATGTAAATATCTGATATGCAGGATGTATTTTCATTCTCTGGACCAAATTTGGCACAAATACCTGATACGCCCACATTAAAATACTGGTGGGTTTAGGGGGGATTGATTGATTTTGTCATTTGAGAGTTGTAGTTGCTGGGATTTATAGTTCACCTACAATCAAAGAGCATTCTGAACTCCACCATTGATGGAATTAAACTTGGCACACAGAACTCCCATGACCAACAGAAAATAGTGGAAAGATTTGGTGGGTATAGACCTTGAGTTTGGGAGTTGTAGTTCTCCTACATCCAGAGAGCACAAACAATGATGGATCTGGACCAAATTTGGCACATATGCTCAATATGCCCAAATGTGAACACTGGTGGAGTTTGGGAAAAGTAGACCTTGACATTTGTAGTTGCAGGGATTTATAATTCACTTAAATCAAAGAGCATTCTGAACATCACCAACGATAGAATAATAGAATCTAAGAATCAAAGAGTTGGAAGAGACCTCATGGGCCATCCAGTCCAACCCCATTCTGTCAAGAAGCAGGAATATTGCATTCAAATCACCCCTGACAGATGGCAAACTTCCCACACAGAACCCCCATGACTAACAGAAAACACTATGTTTTCTCATGGTCTTTGGTGACCCCTCTGATACCCCCTCACGACCCCTCTGGGGGTCCTAACCCCCAGGTTGAGAACCACTGCTATAGGGGAAGGATCTTTTCCAACACAAAATCCTCTCTAGCTTGCCATTTCATAGACGTCTGAGATCATGACATTTATTGCTTTCCAAATAATGTAATCGGTTTATGTTGTATGTATTTAGCGTTGCATAAAATAAATTAGAATTTCCTGCAAGTTAAACTCTTTGGATGTTGGGTTCTAAAAAGCCCTGACCCTAATACTAAATTTCCCTTAAAATGTCAGCAAAATTCTCTTGAAAAAATATTTAATTTGTATCCCACCTTTCTCCTGATGTGGGACTTAAGCAGCCA